AGGAGACTCGCTTAAGCCCAGGAGTTGGAGGTTGCTGTGAGCTGTGAAGCCACGGCACTCTACCCAGGGGGACAGCTTGAGGCTCTGTCTCAAAAAAGAAATAACAATGTGGTGATTTTCCCACATATTGTCATTATTTTTCTGTATTGTTGATAGATTAATACTTAAAAGTTCTAATTCCAAACAATGACTACTGTTCAGGATACTGCTAGATATTGAAATGACATAATTTTAGGGTTTTCTTTTTATTATGTTTTTAATGTCTTAGGTTCCTCCAGAAGAAATTAATTATTTGACACGAATTCACTATAAGGCCCAGTCTGATGGTATCTGGGGTGAGCATGAGATTGACTACATTCTGTTTGTGAGGAAGAATGTGACTCTGAATCCAGATCCCAATGAGGTTAAAAGCTACTGCTATGTGTCCAAGGGAGAACTGGAAGATCTTCTGAAAAAAGCAGCCAGTGGGGAAGTTAAGATTACACCGTGGTTTAAAATTATTGTAGAGACTTTTCTCTTTAAATGGTGGGATAATTTAAATCATTTGAGCCAGTTTATTGACCATGAGAAAATACATAGAATGTGAACATGGAGATGAATGATTACTGCAGGATTTCTCTGTTTGGTAAACTTAGAATTACTTTTTTATAAAATTTGGTTCCCTGTTAAGAAAACTCCTGGTACTTTGGTAATTTGCAACTTGTGTTGAAAACACAACTAATAAAATTAGTTAACTAATAAATAAATTACCTTAATAAGCTTAAGGTAATTTACAACTTGTGTAAAAAACACAACTAACCATTTTGTATCACACACCCCGTATATGTGCCCTGTTGTAAAAGGCAGTTATGAGAAGTTACTGTGAAATGAAAGAGAACAAATAAAACAGAATTTAACCTGTCCAGACACATGGTTATAACAAACCTGAACTAATAGGGACACGCTTTCATTTTTGATATGGTAAACATTTCTGGATCACTTTTTGTCTGCCAGGTGCTTTATATTAGCATTAAATTTTTTATCATATTTCAGGAAAAAATGTGCAAACAAAACTGCTTAGCTACTCCAAAACAGTCCTAATTAACTTTCCATGGGAACAAATTAAACTGGCAAAGCAGGTGCAAGGGACATGAAATGGTGTGTATCCTAACACATTGCTCTAAGTTAATTTTTGTGATTTCTTCATTCTGGAAGTATCATTTTGATACTGAAAAATAAATCATTGCTTTTGGCAATGATACTGGTTAAGTTAGGTCTTCTTTTAAATAATATTTGCCAGCCGGGCATAGTGATTCAAACCTGTAATCCAAGTAATCTGGGAGGCCAAGGTGGGAGGATTGCTTGAGCTCAGGAGTTGGAGAACAGCCTGAGCAAGAACAAGACCCTGTCTCTAAAAACAGCATGGTGTTGTGGCTGGTGCCTGTAGTCTCAAGATCCTCGGGAGGCTGAGGCAAGAGGATCACTTAAGCCCAAGAGTTTGAGGTTGATAATAAAGACAATAAATATTATTTGCCAATTAGCAAAATCTGTGTTCTCAGAATTACAGGGCCAGAGGTGTACACAGGTGGGAAGTATGTCCTGTACAGCAGGGTTCCTCACCCCAGGCCCTGCATCCATTTGGGCTGGAAAACTTTCTTTTGGGACTGAGGGTAGTTGGCTCTGCACCCCAAATACCACTAGCACTTCTTCTCCTGTGACAGCCAGTTGGAACTGGTTGTACCTGGGGCTGCTCTACTGAGTCATCCCCAGCTAAGAACCACTATCCTGCAAAGTCGGGCCATGTTGTAGGGACAGAAAAGGAGCAAAGCAAAAGGCTGAGTTCATACTAAATAGTTCAAGTTATGGAATATGTGTATGTTAGTATAAAAAAATTGTACCCTGATTGGTGCACTTTTTACAACTTGTCACAGGTATATTTCTCAAGTTTGGAAGCTTAAGACAGTTTTATCCTTAAATGCTATATGATAATATTGAAAAATAAAATACAGTATTGTTTTCTTATAAAGCAAAACGGTTTATAAATTCAGAATATTCATTTCTTGTTAATCCTGAACAGATAATTTATAATTTGAGGCAAGACTATGTAGCAAGTATTTTACTAAAAAATGAGAACAATAAAAAATTACCACATTTTCATACTGTTGTCTAGTTTCTTAAATTGTTAGTACTATAGTAAGTTATTGCCTGTAGAAGCTTAAACGTGATAAATGTCATGTCATTTCAAATGCATTTGTAATATCTTTACTACTTTTTTAGTTTATTTTGTAGGAAATTTTAGATTGAAAGCCACATGTAATTAGTTACTCAGTAGCTTGGCAAAAGTTAGATGTTATGTTGGGAAGTCCCTGGATGCCATTCAGAGCCCTGAGTGTGAGTGGTCTTGGACCTGATAACCCCTTAGACTCCTCCTCTTATGAACAGTAAGGTCCCTCTCCTGGAATACAGTGTTTCTGACCCCGAAGGCAAGTGTTGGGTTTGAACTTGAAAGCCAATCAAGACTTTAAAAGTTTTCTTTTCTTCAACTGTTTAAAATTCCCAAAGTATATAACTTTTGATTCTGGCCAAACTATTGCCAACTTCTTTTTTTTTTTTTTTTTTTTTCTTTGAGACAGAGCCTCAAGCTGTCCCCCCTGGGTAGAGTGTCGTGGCATTACAGCTCACAGCAACCTCCAACTCCTGGGCTCAAGCGAGTCTCCTGCCTCAGCCTCCCAAGTAGCTGGGACCACAGGCGCCCGCCACAACGCCCGGCTATTTTTTTGGTTGCAGCCATCATTGTTGTTTGGCGGGTCCGGGCTGGGGATTCGAACCCGCCACCTTAGGTGTACGTGGCTGGCGCCTTAGCCGGTTGAGCTATAGGCGCCGAGCCATTGCCAACTTCTTTAAGGACAAAGTAGAGGGGTAGCCTACAAGAAAGATTGTTTATTCTGATTCCACCCCAGAACAAGAGCCAAAAAAAAGCCACTGTGGGAGGGAGGGAGGCATGTTGTTCTCTCTCACCTGGCACAGGGCAGGCACACGGGGTGCCTCCAGGAAACAACATAAGGTGCCAGGAAGCCTGACGGGGACGTTTGCTGTTGAGGGTACCTGTGTCTGCACTTGAATACATAACAACAAGTTGCCACACCACAATTTTCCCAGTGCTCTACTCTGGGTTTTCCTCTGCACACTATTTCCCAGACTGAGTCTCCAGCACACGCAGGTGAGTGGGTAAGCGTGTACAACCAGACAGTGTAATGAGACTCAGCACCAAGAGGGGCTGCTAGGCTACAAGCAGAAATGAGCAATAACCCATGGGCTGCTAAGTGAAAGAAGCCATCCATCCACAGGGGACACGCCACAGGGTTCCAGCCGAGCCACTCTGGGAAAGGGAGACAGGAGTAGAGATGGGGAGTAAGCGTGGGAATCTAGCACCACAAACTGCTCTATAAAGGTGCACCATGTTGTCATGTGCACAGAGACAGAGTGAGGGCTCCTGTCAGCTGTGACTGGGGGTGGCAATGTGACAAATGCCTTCTCTGGGTCTGTAGGGGGAGGCAGTGCGAGTACGTAAGGTGCCACAGGTACCCTAGAGCCACGTCCAAGCAGAGCAGGTGTGTGGGGATCATGGCTGTAGGGAGGACAGCAGGAAGAGAGGACAGAAAGTCTCACGTGTGGACCATTCATCACCAGGGCAAAAGGCTGCATAGTCTAGGTCAACAGTGATGTCACCATCCCATCCCCCAAGTTTCTTTGAGAAGGAAGGAGAGGCTTCACAGACCCATTTAATTACAAGTGAAAGACGTTATTTAAGTTTTTGCGATCTTTGTTTCTGGCTGACAGTAGACATCCTTAGAATTCTTTTTTTTAACTTAATGACATAATCATGGTGTATGACCATCCTAAGTTACGAGCATGTCCTTGAAAATACTCCACTGAGAAGCCACAATAAAGGTCCTAGCACCTTCCTTACTCTGGCTCTGGTGACTGTAGATCATTTCCCCAGGCCAGGTGGCCATTTGTCATTCTTGTCCTAGGAAGCCAGAGAGGTAACCTGGTGACCCACCCTGTGGGCAACATGTTTATATACAAGTGATTTCAGGAACCAGAAAACAGGCTCTAACCATAGTGGCAGCATTTCAATTTAGGGTTACAGTAATTTACAAATTTATGTCCAGAATTAATGGACATAGAAATTTGCCTGGCGGAATTCAGGGAGGTGTATATCGAGGAAAAAATAAGATCCTAATTCCAAGAATAAAGGAATAATTTTCAGGAAGTCCAGGCAGGAAATGCTTAGGAAGAGAAACATTGGAGGGCACAGGCAGGCACGGCTGGGAGCATCAGCAACTCAGCCCCTGGGCAGCTCCACACAGCCTTGCGTCCCCTCCAAGGCCTCTGAACTCGCAGCCTAGATCCCTCGTTTCTAAGGGGCTTTCTTGTCACTCAACTTTGGCGCCTTTTGTTGACATCCAACTATTTATCTTGCCATTAATAATTATTGTGAGTTGAATGGCACTCGTAGCTCAGTGGGTAGGGAGCCAGCCACATACACCGAGGCTGGCAGGTTTGAACCCGGCCTGAGCCAGCTAAGACAACGATGACCACAGCAAAAAGAACAAAAAAATACCGGGCCTTGTGGTGGGCACCTGTAGTCCCAGCTACGTGGGAGGCTGAGGCAAGAGAATCGCTTAAACCCAAGTATTTGAGGTTGCTGTGAGCTGTGACGTCATGGCACTCTACCCAGGGTGATAGTTTGAGACTCTGTCTCAAAAATAATTATTATTATTATTATTGTGAGTTGTAGCATGGTAGAAGTGACACCTGACAGAAAGAAACATGCAGAGGACGTGCTCCCTGGGGTGCACAGAAAGTGCCTGCTCCCGCACCTCTTAGCCCAACTACATCTGGTTTCAGCCAGAAGCAGGTAGATGGATGTCCTGATTCTCCAAGATTGAGGAATGAACTACAAAGACGAAGTGGGGGAGGATTGTAACTGGCATAGGGATAGATTTCAATGACCCCTATATGTATTTTCTAATTCTCTCCCTTAGCTAACTACTTCACTTTTTGAGCCGTTTCCCAGAATTGGTGAACTTCTCATAAGACAAAGGACTGAGATTCTGAAGTATGTCTACTCCATGTCCCAGAAGTGGAAATCAAATCAATTAGCTCATTTTTTGCTTGTTTGTGTCTGAGGGAAGTTCTCACTCTGTTACCCAGGCTGGTACCGTGGCTCATCACAGCTCACTGCAGCCTGGAGCTCCTGGGCTCAGGTGATCCTCGTGGCACAGCATCCCATCACCACACCCCATTTCTGTAGACATCAGGTCTCACCTGTTGCTCAGGCTTAAAGCAATTAACTTTTAAATCTTTTGTTTACATTCAGGGCAATGGACTTTCCATCCTAGCACCCTTGACAGCGGCCACTGTTACCCTAAATAACTGTTATATACAGGGTGCAACTGGACAGAACCTGGCAGGGCCTGACGAGCCTGTGTGCCACGATGTGGAGTTGCTTATTCATGTACAAGGCCTTCTGTCATAGATGAAGTTAAGGAATGGGCACTCCAAGGACCACAGTACCGGGG